ATCATCATCATGGTTGGTGAGCGGCAGCGCCGGACATCGTTTGAGTGCAGGGAAGCTAGCAGCAAAATAGAATTTGAGGAGCGATTAAGAAAAATGCGAGAGGAGCGTTGGGCGAGGAAAGTTTTTAGTTACTTGTGCAAGACGAATGTCGATACGAAATGGAGGGAATGAACTCGAAAATTGTCAAGCAAGTATTTAGACAACATCAAAAAACCAAACCAAAAGAAAACATTGGTTAAGAAGAAAGGGAAGAAAACAGAGAGGGACATGTGGAAGATGGGAATGCTTACGAAATCATTACTGGAGACCTACAAAAATTTTACGCAAGAAATTGCAAGGGAAAAGATCTACGATGATTCTCGGGGTAGTCCTCTGCTCTTCGAGCCCCACCGCTGTTGTTTAGTGGCTAAGGTACTCGGCTGCTGACCCGCAGGTCGCGGAATCGAATCCCGGCTGTGGCGGCTGCATTTTCGATGAAGGCGGAAATGCTGTAGGCCCGTGTGTTCAGATTTTGGTGCACGTTGAAGAACCCCAGGCGGTCGAAATTTCCGGAGCCTTCGACTACGGCGTCTCTCATAATCAACTTGTGGTTGTGGGACGTTAAACCTACAAATCCATTAATCCATCTATCTTCTGTTCCTTGAGGCTAGAACGGGAGTAAACTCAGCGCCCAATATTTCAATAGAGCCATTTATCAGCAATATTTCATTCGTGCAAGAAGCGCTGTAACGACAAAAATTTGCGTGTGACTACAAAAGTAATTTCATAAAACCACCATTCGGTAAAATTTCATTTGCCCTTACCTGTACTGTTGTGCGAAAATCATAATATTCACTTTTATATCTGATGATGCTTGCTCGTAGCTGTTCAGTCGCAGCGAAACGGCAATCTCGTTATACACGGCAGAGTTTTACTTCTGGCGTCTAGAGGCTCCCAGTTGCTCCTACGAGTGGTCAATTATTGTAAAATTACTTTATTCGACCACGACGTGAGCGTTCCCAGCGACGTAGCCGGAAAACTGGCAACACTCATAATCGGCTGCATTTTCGATGGAGGCGAAAATGCTGTAGGCCCGTGTGCTCAAATTTAGGTGCAGGGGGTCTAAATTTCCGAAGGTCTCCACTACGGCGTCTCTCATAATCATATGGTGGTTAGGGGACGGTAAACCCCGCATATCATCGTCTTATCATTATGAACACTCGTAATCAATTGGCATCGAGGGGCTTAAACCACAACGAAATTGCGAGAGTTGAACTTATTGTCTTATCGTCTGCTTCTTCCATAACTAAATGCGATCAATATGAATATTAAAATATGCAATATTACAGATAATTTTGCTATAGAAACAGCCTAAATAGGTATCTAGCTTTTCAATCTGTTTTTACAGAGCTATGCTTGATATTCTTGTTTCCTTTGCTTTCAACAAGCTTGGTCAGGGGGTGCAGATGACACGCAATCGCTATCTCTCAGCCAGATCGTTATGCGCGAATCGTGATAGTCTTGATCCCAATAGGACCGGATCACAATTAAAAGTTACCGTGTAGCAGCACCTAATCTAGGTTTCGGTTAATCCGGATCGGCACTTATCGCGATTAAAAATGTCGGTGTGACACCGGTATAACATGAACTGAAGTGCATACGTGGTGGTGCACTGTTATCAATTAATTTACTTTGGTTAGTCCTGTTTTTCTTAAGCCAACTGCTTAGGTGCCTCATCAAACACGTGAATTAACCACCGGTAACCCGTGTCTTCAACACGAATGATGCAAAAAAAAATCACGTGACGACGTCTCAGATCGATAAAATTTGTGACGGCATCATGTCGGCATTCAGGGTGTATCATAGGATGACATCATCATCTGAGAGTCACTTTGCGTTACCTCCTGCCCTAATCACGGATTTCACCTAAAATCAGGTCACATGCACAAAGCTTGCTATGTCTTCAATCATGGGGGCTGTGGAAAGCCACATTATGTGCAGAAAGCTTTCGGGGGCAGGAGATGGAGGGTAAATGCATCGGATGAAGACAAAAGGTATATTGATTTTCGACATCGAGTTATTTCAGGCGGATGCATAAGAGACCTTGCGAGTTTCTTTGTTTGTGTTTCAGCTATCATTTCTCCAAAATGTATAGCAGTCCCAAACCTTCATATTGGTGTTACTGATTACCACGTTTTCAACTCGTGGCGGAGGCAAATCAATTCTGGAGGAAGAATTCTGGTTTGCACACTAAACACTATATCATTACCTTTAGTCGGTAAGCGAATCACAAGCATGTCAGTTTAGTAATGCCATACTTTACCAAGTGAACAAGACGCGAGAGTTGCGCGAGTTAATTTTTACTTTTTGTTCCACGACATTCCACTTCGCAGAAAAATGCTTGAAACAGCAAAGCGAAGAACGCTGCCATTTAAGCAAACCATTATGTAAAATAAATTATATGAAATTTGCGAGCGCGTGACCATGAGATATCCATTTATTACGTGCATATAGTGTGTGAAGATGCTCGTTAGAGGCGAGCCAGCGAGAGCATACGAAGGCACGGCCGATCCCTGGAACATGAGGAAGAGCTTGTTTTTCGGAGACAAAAAAGGGTGGTACGTGAAGGGGGGGGGGGGGGGGTGGCTCGCTTAGTCGGAACGGGCCGGACGGCTACGGAACCCACATAGTACCGCTTCCTACGTTAATTTGGTTATCTTTGTGATCTGCAGCTTCATTCTCTTCTGCAGCGCGTTTACATTCGCCAATCCACATGAAACAAAACCAGCTACCTTTCCTTCCGATTGGCGCGCAAAATGCGCTCCTAACGGGCACGCAAGCGTGGATGATTGCCGTGAAAAAACAGCAAGAAAAGATAATATACAACATCGCCGCTTCAAAGCTACCAAATATGTTATTTGTGTCGTGAGTCACAACAGTCAAGTGCTCGAATGGCGCAATAATAAATCTTGTACATCTTACCGCTACGTTTACCAATAACGGCCGAAATATTGCACGCGTAGCAGACGCCGGCCACTTTGACGCGGCTTTCGCCGCGCAGGAAGCCCACAGGTTCTAAGCCCCTAAAACGGTTGAAAGCGCATGAAAATGGTTGGGATGGTGCATAAGATGTTTCGTGGCTTTATCAATTTATGCCACAATGCACAAAAAAAAATCTGCTTAACAGCCCAGCATTACGGCGCCCACATGTTTTAGGTAAAATGGTCTATAGTTAGCCGTGGCTTTCTCCGCTTTCAGTCGATTTTCAGACTGACGCACGTCTGGTTTTGGCATGAACTTATTGCGTGCCTAGCCGTTACATGGTGTTGTTATTTTCTGCAAGAACCACGCAACACCTATTCACGTGACTAAAACTTATGATGTGACTACATGTTACGCGATTGCGTCAGGTGATCACGCAATGTGACGAGTTACGCGACGTTACGGGAATCCTGTTAGGTAACTCGCTCACTTATGTATCGGTATTTCAGTCAGGGGACCGGTTTTTACGTGGTGTTACCCGATTTCAGGCACGTTGCTAGATGTGACCTGGTTTGAGTCACGTGGCTAGCTGTTACATGATTTTAGCCACGAGGGTAGTTATTTGGTTTATGACGGGGATATGCTAAGTGAATACCTGTAACCTATTGTAGTGATTAATAGTCACGTGACATAATACGTAATTTTACTCAAGTGGCTAGATGTTACAGAGTGTTATTTGTTTTTGCTCACCTGGCAAATTATGTTGTTTCGTTGCTTTAGCCACGTTAGTTACCATGTGACGTGATTTAAACACGTGGTGAGATATCAAGTGATTTTCAGTTCCTTGGCCAGCCCTTACGTGATGCTACATTACTTTATTAGCGTAAGTAGCTCTTACGTACCACTATGTAATTTTTCGTCACGTGTATAGTTCTTACGTGAAGTTATGCGTTACCTAATCAATGGGCCATCTTTTGCGACTCGAGGTCAGCCTTACAGGCACTATGGTTTGTCTTACGGCATGAATTACACAAACATGCAGTATAAAAGATAAGGCATAACGATGAGCAAGTGATTGTAGTCACCGTGCAGCGTCCATTCTCAAGAGTGGCACGGGGTCCGCAGGTCTTGGTCGTAAGCCGATCGAGCAGCTTCTTCTGTGTGGCCATTGCCGATAATTCCGCATTGACTCGGCAATCAATGAAATATGATAAGTCCTTCTTCGAGGCCACGCGCTCGAAGAAGGACTTAGTATTGTTGCATATTGCAAGAGGGTCACACAAACAATTGTTTTATTAAAGGATGAACTTCTGCCCAGAAAAATAGGTGAAATAATTGAGCCTGCTAAAGCGTTCCACACGAACAGCTCTTTCGAACACCGTCTGACGAGCAGCAGATCAGGCCTCTGTCACGAGTCCGAGCACAAGGGGCATATCTCGCGGTGCCGCAGAAAGCACGCGCAGGCGCGGTACATTTTATACGCTTGCATAGAGTCTCGCTGGTTCACCTGGTAGAAACCTAACTGAAAGAAGTCTCTGTGGCAATATTGTATTTCATTGATTGCCGAAGTCAATGCGGAATTATCGGCAATGGCCACACAGAATGAAGCTGCTCGAATCGGCTTACGACCAAGACCTGCGGACCCCGTGCCACTCTTGAGAATGGACGCTGCACGGTGACTACAATCACTTGCTCATCGTATCACGCTTCTAAAATGGACTGCACAGAGTTTCTCTAACGTGCGCATGTTTTGATCAACCCGGAGATTTGCAACTTCGTTTGCCAGTCCAGGCTTTCACGATGCGATGAAACTTTGCTGCGTCGCATATGATTGGACGTGGCATTTACGCACTAGTCTCCCATTAGAACGGGCAGAAATACAGCCATGCAACATTTACACCTGCGTCCGAGACGCTTCAGCACATTGTGTGCCAGTGAGCACAATCGGTGCTTTGCATAAAAGTAATTGCCACATTTTACGGAATCTGCCGAATTTTTTTCTTACTTCTGTAATGCTATATTGCTGCAAATGATTTGGCTGGGGTAAAAACTGTGACACTTTATTTCAGAAGATTTTCATTACAGCTTGTAGCATGCAGATGTACACTATAATTTTTAATTAAAATATGGTACGCATTACAATGTGTGTGCTTCCACTGATGCTGAATTACATTTATTGTAAACTCTCACTTATGAATACAACATAACATCGAAATATATGTTGGTTACCTCTCTATGAGTAGTGTGGTTAATAAAACATGATATTGCCTATATGTAACAATACAAAGCGATCATTACTACCTTCGCGACAAAGCCTGGCTTGGTTAGTAAGGAAATATAAAGTGAAGAAAATATTATAATTAACCATACTTTAGTAGTCTTGTAGCAGTAATTTTCATACAAAACTAGACTTATAGCATATTTCTACACATGCAGAGCCTTCGTACTGATTGGATGTTCCAATAGATGAAGATTATGACACTGAAAGTAAAAAAAATACGAATTTCTAGCATAAATTTAGATCTTGTAGAGGCAAGGAGCCATCTGGGGTATTGTTTGATTTCTAATTCTTTCATCATGCAATTTAGACATTAGAAAATTTAAGATTCAGGATCAGGCTATCGCTTATGAATGTCGGTAGAAGGATCGCAGCGGCCGCAAAATCTGGCACACCACTGGCACACTCCAGGCTTTTCGCAGCAGCTGGCGTCGTTTGCCCAGCGAAATGTTGCCCACGTTTGTGTACTGCCTCGGAAATCCAAACAACCTGCGCATTGTAGGGGAGAAGAGAAGCACATAAAATTCCTGAATCCTCAACTTTATTAAACAAAAATGACATGTGATTGTGAAAAATGAGAAAACCGACAAATGCGACACGCACCAGATGTTGATAATTTGCGCAGTGGACGGTGCAATGCGAAGGACAAAAAGAGTCATGGCACAATAGTCTGTAACAGTTGTTTTTACTTCTGTCAAGCAGGTAGGTAATACACATAGGCAACAGGGTAACATGGTACATATCAAGAAAGAGTGTCATTTGATTATAAAATTAAAAAATAAGTTTTTGATTATGCAAGGTGATACAAGACTCACTCATCCAAACGCAGGGCTCCACAATGTTGCAATCGCTTTTGTTTCTGCTCTTGCATGGTATATCAGACTTATAAAATTATGGTTTCCAGTGATCGCAGTCTGACCTCTTTCGCCTTCACAATAAAGCCGCTTTTCCTGAATGCCATAGTGAAGTCTCACCCAGTCTCGATGTACACATCATGTGTCTCTAGTTTTTGTGCTTATCAACAATTCTGTTTGACTGAAAGAAAAGCAGTTGTAAGAGAGTGCCTGTATTGCGTTGCTTTTTCTTTGTCCTCCATCGGGATTGCACATTGCGCTTCTCAAAGTTTTGTAGATTACCAACTCGGCCAGGTGGGTGTTTTGAAAAAAAATTACAAACTACCATTTATTAGACAGGGCACATAGAAAATACTCCCGTGCCAGTGGAGAGAAGCGAGGCACCGAGGGCACAGCGCGCTGCTTGAAACTCTCAGGTGTTTGTAAAATTTACTGTTGAATATCAGTGACATTCGAAGAAAATGTCGAAGCAAAGCTCACAACCATGCAGGAGTGGACTTCTCGAAAGGCCTATTTATTATCTAGAGCTACAGCAGTGAAGCCACTTGAGACGTGAAAATAATAACTGAGTGCCTTTTAAACATAATGAAGCACAAATGCGTGGTGGCAGCCCAAACTGATCACCCTATTCCTTTATTTTTCATTAAGAAGAGCGAGAAAGCCTTGTGAAACTACTCAGCCAAACACGTACCACAGGACAAATGGTCACGCAGAAATTGGCTTTGGTGCCCTGTCGTTTTTGGGGCTGTGTACAGTGTACATGAAATACTACCTGGCCTAGTCTGTCACACGACTTAGCCACTGTATCCACAAAGCTCGAACAATCTGAAAAGCAAACAAACTTTAAAGCCAGCTTCTCCTAAACTAGGAAGAAATAGAAGGTGAAGGCATACCTTGAAGAGAACGTTCAGTGACAGTGGCACAAAGAAAACGGGTCCACCAATTTCAAACGGTACATTCCCTGACAAGTAAGTAAGTTCTTCGCCGAGAACCTGTAAGCCTCGAAAACAACCGGTATTGGCCCGCAACCACTTTTTGACCATACGAGTTTCACGCACGTCCAACAATTGACCCCCTTTGAAAAAAAACCTTTAGCTTGTACATGTACTATTTAGTGTTACCGTTTTACCGAAATACCCTATTGCGTTCACCGTAATCCCAGAACGCATATTTCAGGAATGTTTTAGCTCCCACACATAAACGTCTACGTAAGTGCATAACCATCTACCTTTATGTTTGCACAGACTGCTAAATTGTTACAACTTTAAAGGAGAATCAGCACTGTGGCAAAACTATAAAAGAGGTTTTTTAGAGTTTAAAGAATCCTAATGTATGCCAAGGAGTGTGAAAATACCGGGTTACCATGTGATGATGTCAACATCGTGTGACGCTTCGTGCATTCAGCTCATGGACAACTTTGCTTTCACCTAGAATTTTTGAGGCCAAGAATGATGACAAAAGTCATGTTATTTATACTCATGCTACTGGAAGGCATTCACACTAGAAGCAGAATGCATAGTGTTTCTACAATAACAATTCTATTATTGCCTGATCCATCTTGGCACCGCTAGATTATGCCACCTATCCAACCTGTCAGAGGCCATTCACATTTACGGCTTCGACATGATAGGTAACTCTAGTTTGGCCATCTGCTGAAACATTAAGGAGATCACTCGCACTTTGGGTATTGACTCGGCAAGTCTCCGTCAAGTGGATATCATGAGTAGCCACAATGACGGTGGATCTGCGAGATAGGGGCAAAAACGTAAAGCCAATGCAGTGAGTAGTTTACGTTCCGTTGAAGTTTACTTGTAAAACATTAGAACATGTTGTTTATACAAATTTAATGGCACACTTTCAAGAAAATGGCTTCATTATTCCAACGCAACATGGCTTCAGGGCTGGCTTTTCTTGCGACACTCAGCTTGTAGAATTTCGCCATGACATCGCAGCATTTATTTATTCAGGTTTGCAAGTTGACTGCATCTTTTTAGACTTTCGGAAAGCTTTCGATACCGTATCTCAGACCCTGTTACTACTAAAGTTGTCCTACCTCAACTTGCCGAACACCCTCCTGAGTGGTTGGAAGCATACCTGTTAGATAGAAAACAACACGTGATACTTCATGGTGTCCGCTCTTCTGGTGTCTCTGTATTTTCTGGAGTGCCACAGGGGTCCGTCTTAGGGCCCCTGCATTTTCTTATATTTATCAATGACCTTACTGAACACTTGTCTTGCCGTGTGAAGTTATATGCAGATGATTGCTGTATTTACCGTGAAATTTCAAGTGAATCAGATAGTCAACTGCTAGAGAATGATCTGAACAAAACCATGTCTTGGTGTTCGACTTGGAACATGACACTCAACCTGTCTAAATGCAACCTCTTAAGATTCACAAACAAAAAACACCCGCTGATGGCAAGCTATGTCATGAATACAACACAGCTGTCCCTTTCAACAGAATATAAGTACTTAGGGGTCATTTTTTTCCAGCAATTTGACATGGAATGCCCACATAAATTACATCGTAACAAAAGCAAGCAACACATTAAACTTCTTAAGACGTAACTTTAAACAAGCACTGGCCAGCCTGAAAGAAATCCTGTATATGTCGAATGTACGCCCACTTTTGGAATACGCGTGCAGCACGTGGGACCCTTTTACTAAGGTGAACATCGACGCTCTAGAACGCGTGCAGCTGAGAGGGGCCCATTTCGTCAGGGGTGATTACAACTTTTCTAAAAGATCTTTCCAAATCAGGAGTACTTTAGGATGGCCTCTTCTTGAAGACAGGTGCAAATTTTTACGTTTATCTCTGTTTCACAAAATATTCTATGGTTTAACGGGTATTCACAAAAAAAACTACATATCCGAGCCTACGTATATATCTGCTCGTACTAATCACCCCCTTAAAGTGCGCGAGTTCGCTACCAGAATCAACCTTTCTAAATATTCATTTTTTCTGCAATCAATTAAACAATGGAACAAACTACCTCATGAAATTGTAGCCGCGTCCAGAGAAACATTCACCACTGCGCTGGAACATCATATTTTATCGTAGCCTGAGCACACATTAAAGTTGCCTACACTTTCGTTTCATCTCTCTAGCGATCTACGCTTCAGTTTTTTTTTTGCCTGCTTTTATCTGTGTGTGTATATATATGTATATATATATGTGTGTGCATATGCATTTTATAAATATATTTTTTTTTCTTGCTGCTGTACCTTCACACACGTCAATGTTTATTACGTGTCACCATTGGATGCTTTATTATGTATCTGTATTTCTTTTATGTTCAACTCCGTGTTAATGGACTGTCGCCTTTCTGCATTTCGAAATCGTTATCTCCCCCCTACACTAATGCCCCTCGCGGGTGCTGTAGGTACTGTAAATAAATAAATAAATAAATAAAGTGTACATTCAGCAAGGGCTTGCACATGCGCAGATTCCTTTCGTCTTTCGGTAACAAGGTAACATAAAGATGTACACGTACAAGCTTGAAGCCCCTGCATTGTCTTTGGTGTCGTACAAAAGGTCAGCAGTTCAATATTTCCAGCACATAAAAACATTGGACTGACCCTTCCAGCTCTGTGACTGAGGGCATGTTTCCTTCTTCATCCATGGTGACAGGCAAGGATCCATGCTTGCTTCGCCACAGGGAGGTTGGATTTGTCTTCACTGTCTGCACTTTAGCAACCTGCGTATGGCGCGACACACAGGCTTGTTAAAATGCGCACGAGTATTTCGAAACAGCTTCATCCCACGTACGTTATTCTTCGGGGGGCGACCGTGTGACTTTCTTTATTTCTTCTTTGAAGTAAAACAAGTGACCAATTATAAAATCCCCCGAAAAATGATGGTTATGCAATCTCGCCGAAAGATTGTACATATATTCACACCTTAGTAGCATTATTACCAAGAAACTGATTTTGTTTCTTTTCATAATATTTTAGTTGTTGCAAAAACAAGAAAAATGCACACCGCTTACACTAAAAAAAGTACACTATAAAAGTATGGCAGCAGCCTAGTACACGTTTTGCACTTACATTGAGGCGCATTAGGTGGAATGCTGGTATTCAAATATGTGATAAGACCAGTGCATCTAGAGAAGCGTACCTGCAGGGGCAGGCTTCTCTTGTGCCAGTTACCTAGAGCTTATCAGCTGCATAGATGGAATGAGATGAAAACAGTCACAGAAACTCATATCGCACAACGAAGGAGTGAAAAATTCATAACACGAAGTGTGGCTGGAGCTGACATTTTGACTACCGGACTTCTCACGTAATGTGTTAGGCAATTTAAGCCTTGGAGAACCCAAGCCTGTTTGTTTGAAAGATGCTTCTAGCGACACATCATGTTCACGAATTTTTCACCTTTTCTAACTTCCATCTTCCCCTTAAAAAAAAACACACACAAGCACTGTACTTTCAATTTGTTTTCATAATTAGCTTCAATATGTCTGTCTTCTTGAATGCTACCTAAAGTGACAATACCTTTCGTAATCACCTATCAATTTTGCACTGCGTAGTGCAGCGGTTACAATTTCCAGCTGCTGTGCCAAAGGTCGCCGGTACGATTCTAGCCATGGTGGCAGCATTTCAACAGAGGTGAGAGACACGTGTACTGTTCAATGTCAAAAGAGTTTGTGTTTGCGGAAGCTGGGGTTTTCATGCAGAAACCATCGTGAGAACCCCATTCACAGGACACACGAGAATGAACACATGAGGATGGGTGTGCCTGTCCTCGTCTATTCTTTCTCGTGCGTCCTGTGTAGTTGTGCTCTCCCGCAGGTTTCCATGTGCGATGTCAGTGCACATTAAAAAACCCAGGTCGTGGAAATTTGTGGAGTTTTCCACTACGCAATATCTCGTAACTACATCATGGTTTTCAAATGTTAAACCCAGATAGCAACAATATTCACGTGTCGATTTTTTAATCCACACCTATTTAGCCGCTTTACACAGCTTGGCAGTGATGAGCGTTCAGTTCTCAGTCAGCAGTTGTCATAGGTCTGAGTTGCTGAACTGAGGAAGACGAGTTTTCTAGTAAACAATTTGAGTAGAAAAAGTATTGTGTTTCATGACATTTCAATCTTTTGTGCCCACTCCCTATATTAGATGCAGAGAAATGCCCTATGAAGTACATTGAGGAATGACCACAGCGTATCGAATATGGAATCAAAGATTGTGGGTTGAAGTTGCTTTTCGTGAGATTTATGATATAACACTTATGTACTAATCACAAAATAAGAGCTAAGTACCTCAAATGATAATCCTTATGCCATGCGGCTTCATTGTTTGCTTACCCTGTCAAGATGTGTCTCACTGAGAATCGGATCTCGTTGATTAGTTCTTTATTTCTTATTCCTTTGTTACATGATTCATGATTGTCCCACTTTATTCACCTCTTTACGTATGTCTAGTTTTCTAAGCACGATAGAAGTTACGGGAATAAAAAGTTGTCCAATACCATGACCACTGTGCTCTCTTATGCACAGGTTGTAGACTGGACCGAGCCAGCAGCAGCAACACTGACATTCAGAATGCTCTGCACAGTCCAATAACACATAAATATTTATTTTTAAGCAAGAAACTTTCCCTATACAGGTGTCCTAAAAGCTGGACCGCTTTATTATGTAGGAACGGTAAAAATATATATGGTACTTACTGCAGCCTTTCTTTTCCGCAGCGGATGATGGATACTTTGTACAGTGGTACTCTGCACTATTTCCGGGCTTAGAGATCTGTGGTAATAGAAGATAACGTATCACTGTCCTACTTTTTGCTGAAAGATTTTTTCTAGTATGCTACCATGCATACCAACGAAAAGGAAAAGCTGGGTATAAAAAAACAATATATATTTGGCGAGTTTTACACGCTGCACTTTGTTCTGCTTATCTGTAGCAGTTTTCAATTACTAGTCAATTCGCAATATGAGCATAGGTTGGGGCATTAGTCAGGGTGTGGAGGAAAGGTATTTGTACAGCCTTGCATATGTGAGTGTTTCAAAACACAATATTGGTTAGTGCATAAAATTTCGAATAGTTACGACTTCATCACAAGATGAAAAGATTTGTGCATATCTATATATTTACTCTAGAGTTATCAAGAGAGAAAATCTCGCATGGCATAGCTTGAAGTGATATGAATATTCAGCAGGGCACTCTTTAGATAAATATTCAATGCATACATATCACTAGCAACCATTATCTCTTTATTGTTGTCCTTTTTTAATAAATAAATTATTAGCTTTCAGTGAATCAAAAGAACACGCTAAATGAAAGGATACAGAAAACTCTACAGTGTCGTGATCCCACCGCTGATCACCAGTTGTTGTGATCCCGGGGTGCTGTGGTAGCGTGGTGTAGCTTCGGGTTGAGGAAACGACCGCTTACAAGATGGGGATACGAAAAACAAACAAGGTTTATGGCACTATTTACAAATATTTACAGCATGAGGTTAAGAGTTCACAAACCACGAGCGTGGTGGTTAAACCGTTACATGGTTCAGAGCCTTCACAAACTACGAACGTGGTGGTTGAACCTTTACTTGGTTCAGAGCCTTCACAAACTACGAACGTGGTGGTTGAACCTTAACTAGGTTCAGAGCGACGTCCTCCCCTCTGCGGCGCCGTTATAAGCCCTCTCGGGCTCCTCCTTCTTCAGTGGAACACCAATCACACACACACACAACAGGTGAGGGGTACGAGCATGCACGGCGCACGTGAACATCCAATTTCGAGTCAAGATCACTGCACTTAAAGGTGGCGCCAGAGAGGCTCTTGCTCGTCGTGTATGTCGCTGGTCGAGGGGTCCCAAGCTTCGGACAGCAGACATCAAACGGTCCGCCAATCTGTCCGCTCAATTAGCAGGGCACTTTGTGGCGGCGGTCGCCGTTTCTTCAAAGGAATACGCTGTCTTTGTTGTCCCCTCTGGAACGGCTTACCGCTTCGTGGCGACGTGACGTCTCATCCGGCGGCTAGCAGGGACAATACCTGGTGGGCATAGGCATTCGGCGAGTCGGCTACTTGTTTGAGGATTAAAAGAGCGCCGCTCCCCGTCAGCTCTCGACGCTGGTTCCAAGAAAACCTGGGTTCCAGGCGTGGGAACGCGGCCCGGCTACGCTTTTCAGCGACAGCATGGCGCCTACCGATGGCGGTCATAACAGCTTTCCCCTCGCCAGATGAGTCACGGAGGGCAGCGGTCAACACTGCTGCTCGCAGGGAAAACGAAAGGGTCCGTAGTTGAATGCCAGAAACTGGCCTTCACTTGTGGCATGGTCCGGGTAATTGCCGAATCTTCGACACTGTTTCTGAAACTCGACCACATGCACAAGCAAGTACTCGGCCCCCTTCGAACAACCAAGCCAAAAGAGGGATGGCAAACCAATTTTCTTTACTAGCTTTAACAAAAAGCTCACACTCAAAACTCTCAGGATTCACTTGTGCTGAGAAATCAAACGTGCTATCTTAAACCTTCTCATAATAAGATGCACGACAAAAAAAAACTAAAATATCAATTTTTATACATAAAGAGCACCCCAGAATGGCTTAGAAAGAGCGGCTGAGCGCGTCAGCGTTTCCATTCAATTTGCCCGTTTTTTACCTAATGTCAAAATGATATTTTTTTTTTTAAGAATTAAGCTCCGCCTCACAAGGCGACTGTTCTTCGAGGTCATGGTTTGCAGCCAAGGGGACAATGGTCTGTATCTACTTTAAATTTAGCACCTCCGAGACAACGCTGCAACTGATCAATGGCCTACACAAGGCAAGCGCATTTATTTCCTGAAGCGCAGTACGTTATCTCACGAGAGCCCAAATTCTGGCTCAAGTAAAGCACAGCTTTGCTTGTTACCACTGTCGTCCTGACATAGAACGACACCTAGGCCTCGATCTCTCGCATAACACCGAACCGTTAATTCTCGGTAGTCAACAGAAGCTTTCAAAACCGGATGACGATCGGTATTGCCTCTTCACTTAAGAAGGCTGCCTCCTCCTTTTAATCGCCGACTACTTTCATCGGTTTTGTCCCGCTGAGAGCATCAGTCAGGAACTCGGATTCAGTGAGCGCTACTTTTGTCTTTCGCGGGGCGGTGTGGGACTAGTCCTATGCTTAGGCAGTGCCGAACGCTTTCGCTTCTTCCTTTTTCTGCGATGTTTGCAAACCTGCTCGGTGTTATCGCTGTACTGCTGAAGCGTGGCGTTCTTGCCCTCAACAGCCACTGCGCTAACCATGCCTAAATTTGACAATGTCGAAAGGTCCCCCTGAGGCACGAAGAAGGTTTCCAGCCTCTTACTGGGCCCATTAGGGCTGCTGGCACCCTCTTCATCCACACAAGGAGCGTCTTTCGACATCGTCCCCATCTCCAGACCGGCCACGGCCTCGTTCTCTACATCATTTACATGGATGCATTCGAGAATATGCGGGCCCTTCTCTGGCGCAATCTGTTCCTGTCGCGCTTTATGAGGCGCCTCAACTTCCGGCGCTTTGCGACGCGCCTCGCCTTCAGACTCCGGTGCGAGTCTTTCTTTCTTTTTGCTAACAAAAGTTCCGAATTTTCCGATCAGCTCTGATTTGATAACTTCATAGTTGTTCGCGTGCTGCTCACTGAGTCGCGCAACAACGTCCGCTGCCTCGCAGGGCAGAACCGTGAGTAGCTTGTGAGACCACGTGTCTCGCTCACACTTCAGTAGACTACACTTTCGTTCAAAGAGTCTAAGATACAGGCCCATATCCCATGATACCTCATATGGCTGCATGTACCTAGACATCTCGAACTCTGCCTCATTTTCGAGAAGTACTCCTTGCTGGAGTCCCATTCTCATACGCAACTCATAGTCTTGTTTGAAAAACTTTCTCTTGAGGCCTTCTCTTTCGTGTTCACTCTTTCCTTCCATCTGAGCTACTCTTAGTTTTCTTTCGATGATGCGGTCCCATTCTTCACTTAGTTCCTCATCATCAGCCCCCAAATCATTAATCGCTTGAATGATTATGGGTTTTCGTGCCAAACCCTTTGTATCGATCCCCAACTCCTCACACAACAGCAACAAGTCTGACTTCTGCAGCTCCCGTAAGTCCATGATTGTACTGAGTGCTCGCTACTTCCAAAATAACTTTCCGAAACGGCGAAACTGAGTCTTTCGGCAAAGTTAACTACCAGTTCTAAAATTTAATCCTCTTTTAGAACCTGGTTCACTCAAAGGAAAAGCCAAGCACTCACCCATACGTGATCCATGTCTCGAGCCAACTGCTTCTCTTGGGCCGACTGTTGTTGTCACTTGTAGCTTCGAATCCGACCGATGCCAACCAGTTGTCGTGATCGCACCGCTGATCACCAGTTGTTGTGATCCCGGGGTGCTGTGGTAGCGTGGTGTAGCTTCGGGTTGAGGAAACGACCGCTTACAAGATGGGGATACGAAAAACAAACAAGGTTTATGGCACTATTTACAAATATTTACAGCATGAGGTTAAGAGTTCACAAACCACGAGCGTGGTGGTTAAACCGTTACATGGTTCAGAGCCTTCACAAACTACGAACGTGGTGGTTGAACCTTTACTTGGTTCAGAGCCTTCACAAACTACGAACGTGGTGGTTGAACCTTTACTTGGTTCAGAGCGACGTCCTGCCCTCTGCGGCGCCGTTGTAAGCCCTCTCGGGCTCCTCCTTCTTCAGTGGAACACCAATCACACACACACACAACAGGTGAGGGGTACGAGCATGCACGGCGCACGTGAACATCCAATTTCGAGTCAAGATCACTGCACTTAAAGGTGGCGCCAGAGAGGCTCTTGCTCGTCGTGTATGTCGCTGGTCGAGGGGTCCCAAGCTTCGGACAGCAGACATCAAACGGTCCGCCAATCTGTCCGCTCAATTAGCAGGGCACTTTGTGGCGGCGGTCGCCGTTTCTTCAAAGGAATACGCTGTCTTTGTTGTCCCCTCTGGAACGGCTTACCGCTTCGTGGCGACGTGACGTCTCATCCGGCGGCTAGCAGGGACAATACCTGGCGGGCATAGGCATTTGGCGAGTCGGCTACTTGTTTGAGGATTAAAAGAGCGCCGCTCCCCGTCAGCTCTCGACGCTGGTTCCAAGAAAACCTGGGTTCCAGGCATGGGAACGCGGCCCGGCTACGCTTTTCAGCGACAGCATGGCGCCTACCGATGGCGGTAATAACAACAGATACCTCAAAATAGGGCACACAAGGTGTCAGTGAAAAATAAAAAAGGCGAAGAGGTACTTGAGCATTACCGAGCAGGACAGGAGGGAACCCTCCTGCCTCGTTATGAAGATAGAAAAGTGAAATGCAGAGAGAAGAGGGTCAAAGGCTTTATAGTTCCACTAGGCACCTTTAACGTGCAAGGTAGCATATTTTGTCACTCTATTCTGAATTAACACAGCGAGCTCCCAGACAAGCATACTTTATTAAGGAAAGGTCAATGCGATACAATTATTTATGTAATTTCACAAGAGGTTCAACACAACGGCAATATAAAGAAAAAAATTGTGATACTCACATATCCACACCAGGAATATTTCCCCAGAACAGCATAGCCCTTGCTTGAGCCGAGAAGCTGTGTGCATCCAAAAGTGCCGGCTCACACTGCAACAGATATGAGAGCCACATTTTGTATTTTGCACGATCTACTTAATTTTTGAATTTACGGCTACTAGCATCCAAGCCGAGGTTATGCGTGGTCATCACTAATATGCACCAAATTCCAGACCCATGTAAATGACCGCTCGTTAAACAAAAAGTGTCTTTTGACGTGCACATTTTGATACACCACTAGTCGCATGGTTATTGCTGATTTTTGGATACCTCAAAAATAAAATATTTATCGAAGTCGAAGCAATAGACGATTGTGTAGTGCTCCGAATAAAGCTTCTGAACCTAAACTGTGCTTGTACGACGCGCAACAAACTGCTTGGTCACCACTTACCCCGAATATAATTGCGAAGCTGCCAAACTGAACGATTCTGAATCCGGGAAATTTATGGATGAGGGGGGGGGGGTCATGCTGAATCATGTGCCCCCATTTTCGGGCATCAAAGAAAACAAAAATATTGCAAAAAACTACAGTAGGGGGAAAGTCACTAGCACAAACATCCGCGTTGCGTTCTTGTACTGGCTTGAAGTACACAAGGGAAGGATTTCACACAAAGGTGATTGTGTCGAAGGGGGAGCGCAAACACTCCCGAAATTGTCCGTCATCAAAACAACTAGCAAAATCTGTTTCCATTAGAACAACCCGCATATGTCTTTGTGGGCCACACGTGAACGAATGGGCCGGTGCAGGTGGCTGTGACGAAATCACGGGTCAAAGCTTTGCTCTTGGCTATATTGTTTGGACAGAAACGCCAAAGTGCTTCTAGCCTTTTTTACAACTTTAATGACTTTCACCTATCGCTGCGTTAGCTGCGTGTCCTCCTTGGAGCTCGTATATCACTATTGCATCGCCGTGACCACGGTTTCGCGCGCGGTGGTTGCGGCAAATAGTAGTTTCATTTTCAATCTGCGTGAGCTGGCTGCGGAAGTGTCTTCAAAACAACGTCGTTTTATGCTACCCACGGAGACAACTTTCTGTGGCAATGAAGGGAAAGTGACGAGGGTGGAGCTACTGCAGATGTACTCCTCCATGAAATTGTCCAGCTAGACTTGCTTTTCGAATGCCGGCCATGTTCGATTAACACCATCGTACACAATTTGGTATGTCTACTTTACAGCTATTTGTGAGTAAACTTCGACACAAGCTCCTTCGGCGGGTAGTCAGAATAGCTTGAGGATGACGCACACTCACCTTAAGATGAAGACACCACTTTGAAGCTGAAGTACACTTAAAACGTGTGATGTTTAGAAATGTGAAAAACGGGAAATAACACTTCATGAAGCAAAACAAATGTCTCCTTGGTTCGTAAAGTGTCTCTTTAGAAACAACAATCCATAGAAATTAATGTTTTTTATTATTATATTTTTATTATCTTCACGCGGAAAACACAGACATATTTTTTTGATTATATTCTGTTGTGGTGACACACAGAGACTTTAGTTCCATAGCCTTCCCTTCATTACCACAGAAAGTCGTCCTAGAGTATATCTACAATTGCATCTGCTGCAGTCAAGTCCACAGAGTTTGTAGAAAGCAGAGTTACTTTGAATGGTCGAGCGTTGTTTCCCGCACACTTACTTTCGGAGTTGTGTCAGTGAAGTTGTTGCCATACAACACGCATTGTGGAAGGCAGTGCGTGCGCTTGTCGCACGCGTACTTCCGATGCTTCAAGCACGCTGTTCTCGGCCTTCGTTTGATGATTTTCGTACTAAAGTTCATATCATGTGCAACCATTGGGCAAGTGAGCGAGTGAGATTGACTTTATTAAACATATCCTGAGGAGGCTGAGAAGGAGCCATTCCGACCATTAGGAAAAGTGTTCGGAACATTAGAATTTTGGCCCAATAGGCGCAGTGGGAATTGGCTGGAGAATTTCATGAATTCGCATTTATTGGCTGCATTTTCGCATCACTGAGATTCTACTGTACATTTAGATGAATGCCTCTTAAGCTAGTTTATGATAAAATGCGGTGAACTTGCAAAAAGCCTGGAGTGAATTGACCAGCATTTCACAGCCCAAGCTGTTATGAGATCACAACAGAGGTCACTCGCGGGGCTGTAGTTGTTCCCCGCCGCCTGTGTTCATAACCACTATTGCGTGAAATAAAAAAAATAAATAAAAACACAAATGACTTAAAAAACTCGGACATAGCTCAACTGCGTGCCAGCGCAGTATTTTATTACTAAGCCACGCCTGTGCTTCAGATTCATTGGCAAACTTGCATTGGGCAGGCTTGATGTTGGGAAAGGAATCTTCTTTTTATAAGTAATAAAGCGTTGTGGAACAGCAAAGGAAAAATCAGGCGTCTGAGAATGCAAATGGCTTAACAAGTGGGTCGTCCAATGCCTCAACCCATTACAAGACTTTGTTCTTCATCACCTATTAACTTTGACACATGCCCATTTCAGACATAATTTTTTATCGTCACCAGCCACTGCATGAAACACAAAATTGGCACAAAATTTATTGCAAGTGTTTAGTGGATACCACGATTCTCCAAAGAATGACAAAGGATGGCTTAGTGAATGCCTGCCTATTAAATATTCATTATTGGCGGATTGGGCACCCTGAAAACTGGTTGCAGCAGCTACCCAAAGAGCAACAGATGGATAGAGAATGCAACTGCATTCGCATACGCTACGACAACCGATAACCTTGCCGATAATCAGAAGTGATCCCCACCACACAACATCCCGCACGTGGGCCTTGAAGGCTCAACGTTCCGGCTTTAAATAGCAACTACTAACACATACGACATACAGGTAAATTGCAAAATGTCCGTCTTGACCTCAATCAGGTTTTTCTTGCCGTACATTGGTCTCCCCAATGGCCAGAGTTATCTCGGAGGCTTCCGTTTTGCCATTCGTTGTACACCGACAAAGTGGGCATGTATATAGCCGATTTGAAATATATAAAAATGGAAAATAACTGTCAATGAAAGGTTCTAGAATGTGAAATAAAATAGTTCAATGCACAGGAAGTAATAGATAAATGAAGAACGCAACCACAAAGGTGAAACTTGCCGGGGCTATTCCTGTCTGATGAAGGAAGCTTTCTACTACTGATCATCAGACACATTGCTCATGCATGTGCTTCATAGCTTTCGCATCAAGTGTGTGACAAATTTAATGCATTTAGGCATTTCAAAACGCACATAAGAGGGCTTGCCTCGAGGCACTTGTAATATGATGCTCACTTGAGCTGAATTTGCGAGTTTCAGCATGCCAAAATAATTTAAACATCTTTTTCAAGGTACCCCCAGTTCACTTTGAAGAGCTTCCTCTTTTTCCGAAGCAAGATTAGATTGACGGCACAAGCCTGCTAGATCATTCGTTTCCAGAGAACCACGCCTCAACACCAACGAAAGGGGAGGGCCTCTGTACGTTCGCTTGCTGATGGTTCTCTTTGCACTAACCTGTTATGGCTAGCTCGGTGATGAGGGCGCTGGTGGTGGTGTTCTTCACAGTGCCGCTTAGGAAAATTCGCACTCAATGCCGTTGACACCTGAGCTCGTCATCGAGTGCTTGTTTTTGACAGCTCAATTAAGTGTGCTCTCGTATAAGCCTTTAGCATAAACCATTAACCTTTTTGATGCCATCGAAGTGAAGAGCAAACGTGGTAACAAAGTGAGCCCACTCGCCAAGACGCCGGTGCCAATGTGTTTATTTGCGATATGACCTTACATCACTGGTCACGATCTCACCATAGCACAATATTGAAGCGGGTGTTGTCTTAGAAAAGTGCACAGTTCAATCAGCACTTTATTCTATCTAGAAATATTTCTTATCTCAAGCAAATTGTACTTGGTGCTCATTACGCTGCCGCGAGCAGCGATGTCGGCAAATGCTTTCCTTTTGAAAGCAAGAAAAACAGAAATAATTTTTGTGCGCTTTGTCGGTGACAAGGCTAAGCTCCTAGTAGGGAATGGGGTAAGGAAATAAAAAAGATTATTAGAAAAAGAGAGATATAGAAGACGGAGCACTTACCGCGCACGGGTGAAGAAAGGGAGAGAAAAAGATAAGAAAAATGAGGGACACGGTCGAACGAGTCCGAGGACGAGACACCACTCGGCGAGAGCTACACGCCTCCGAGAAATCACTGACAGTGGGCCGATCGGCGAGAGCTATGCTGGCGTCAGAGATTGCGGACAACACAACAGTCCGCAATGAAATCCAGCTATTGAGGAAAGGCTATGAGGCTTGATTCTACTGATTTGCTTTGGCCATGGTAACTGGAGCGGCGACAAGGAGACAGCACCACCGGTGGCGTGACGACACACGGCTTCTAAGCTGTCAGTGGCTGTGGCCGTGCGACAGTCCGATGTGACGACGAAAATACCTGCCCAGCTTGATCCACACCGGACCTGCGATGCGACGACCGGATGCGATGAAACGTCAGAAAGCATCACCATACAGGCTTTCCTATCGTCACACCGCACTCCACATCGCAAGCAAAACCGCACTGTCTGTCTCACGCCAAGGCACTCGGCTAATCACACGCAGGTCGCAGGATCGAATTACTGCCATGGTGTCCACATTCTAGATTCAGATGAAATGCTTGAGGCCCATGTGGTTAGATTTATGTGCATGTTAAAGAGCCCTAAGTAGTCAAAATTTCTGGAGCCCTCTACTACAGAGTCTCTCATAACAATAAGCAGCTTTGGGACTCTAAACCCCTAAAATTAATAAAAACGCTCTATGCACGTGGGCTACTTTCATTCTGCTGATCTGGAAAGCCTGATCATTTGCTGGATTGTGTAGAATCTTCGTCTTCATATGATCTCAATCTAACCAAAATGAGAGAGAGGTCACGTGCCTTACAATGCGATGGAACATGCAATGCATCAGACTCCTTTATAAACTGATGCACTTTTTAAACAAGTGTCAATTCATGGGCTGCTTTGTTTTAATTTGATTCATATGCAGAGTTGAACATCCCAAAATCAGCATATAATTATGAGAGATGTTGTAGTGGAAGGCTCTGGATGTTTAGACCGGCTGGGGTTTTTTAATGGGCGCCCAAATTTGAGCACTTGAGTTTCCAGCATTTCAACCTCCATCGAAAATGCAGCAGCGGCAGCCGGGATTTAATCCCGTGACCTAGGCGTCAGCAACAGAGTACCTTAACCACTAGACCACTGCAGTGGGGCACGTGCTGCTTTCTCCTTCGTACGACTTTCTACATACAGGTTGTGAAGGTGCTGACACCCCTTCTGAAGTTGTTTGCGCCGCGTGACGTGCGTGTCTCACCCAAAAGCCGCGACTCAGGCTACAACCACTGGGTGATAGATGCTGTTGTGTTCGCGTTGAGGACCATTATCATCATCATGGTTGTTACAGTGGTAGCGCCAGCTGTGACCCCCGGCGGAAGCAAGCCTTGGTGGTAGACGAGAGTTGAGTGAGTCTCTTCTGGCGTGGCGTTCGCTCGCTGAGAATTCGAGACCCCACATTGGTGCCCATTGTAGGTATCTTGGAGTATCGAACGACAGTTCTTGTGGTTCGGTAGAAGCTTTTGTTAGAGCCGGGGTAGAGTAGGGCTCGGGTGACATTTTTGCTAGCGTCAGTGGTGTGCTCTGTTTAGAAGCGAGGAGATCGGTTTGTAACGTGTTTGAATTTGTCAGCTGGTTGAGTTTTTTTTTTGCTCGCAAGTGTTGTTCTTTTTATTGGTGTTACTTTTGAAAACCCTTGTTGAATTGGGACGAGAGCCATGCGGTCTGCATCCTGGGGTGACCAAGCCTGGAGCACGTCGTTTGTAGGTCAGGCCCGAAGCGAGTGAGTAGGGAAGCCTCGTTGGTGAACCGATTTTCTGTAATTAGCTTCTATCGCTGGGCTCAGGGAGCCGGGGGTCGCTGCTATCTTGTATTGCGGCTGGACGCCGGGGCGTCGTGACACTGCCCGGGGTGGTGCACGCCGATGGCTCGGTAAGCTGCTGTGTGCGGCAAGCGATAGGGCCACCTCACAGAGAGGATGTCTCCCCGCGGCTGCCTCTTCTGCACCTAGGCTGGGTGCTAGGTGGATGCCGGTTGTTGCCGAGCGACTCATTAGGCCTAAGGCTCTGCACAGCTGCCTGTCGCTTGTGGCACAACCAGAAAGATTGTGGTGTTGAGGTGTTGCTCGATGTTTCCCTCACTTTTTTATCTTGCGATGCACGAGTCAACAAAAAGGAAGTTTGTTTTCTATTGATAGGCGTCTCGGCCGCCGCCGATGTATTAGCTAGCTGTACTGACCATCGTACCACGTGGCCGAAAAGCCCGAAGCTCTCTTCCCTAGGCCCTGCTCCATTGTTTCTCTCGAGTGTTTTGGAATGTACACAGCGGGAGTGAAAGAAACCACGGCTGGCTGTCTTGTGCACATATTCAGCGCCGCTGGCGAGGAAAGCGGTCGGGAGGTCGGGCAAACGAGATGCTTGGGACCGGCGCAAATGCCTGCAGTCTGGAACCCTCGTGAGTGCTGGTACAACTAAAACACGTGTCGGCATGAGTGATGGTTCGTTGTGCCGACGGCAACGTTGCTGTTCCAGGACCGGTACTGAGGTGAAGTCATTGTCGACGTTTTTTGCCCATTACTGTAAATATCAGGCTCTTCTCCATGCCCACTTGAACTAGTGCGCTTTAGTATGGGCAAACACTAAGTGAACAAATTTAAATAAGCTAAAAATTTTCAGAAAAAAGTGATCAGGGCCATAGAAAACATACCATACTTTGAACACACAGGACAACTTTTTGTTAAACATAAAATTGTTAAGGCAAATCACATATACGAATTCAGGTTGTCACAATCCTATATTAGCAAAAACAGAGGAAAACTCTACCCATTTCTGACACTTGCAAATCTTGAACTTACTCAAACCATTAACTTCCATCGTTATAAACCCCCGTGGAAAATTCCATTATCTCGCACCAATTACGGCCCCCAAAGACTTAGCCACATGCTACCTACTCTACTGAACTCATATGAGCAGCAAAACATAAAAATTGACAAATTAAACAATATCGATGTGCAAACACTATTCTTGTAGATTTGTATTGTTTATATAGGTCACTCTGTGTTCCTGTGCATCATTTTTTGTGTACCTTTATTTTTTATTTATTTATTTTGTGTAACCTCATTGTGTACCTTTTTTATGTACGAAAGCGATGATACACACTCTGCGAATTACTGTGCTCAAGTGTTTATGAAATATTCCTTTTTATTTGTATACCTTAGCCTGTCATTTACTTTGCCTTTTGCTTGTAATATTACTTGCTTTAGAGCGATTGTCTTTTCATTTCATTGGATTTCGTTTTTACCCTGTCACTGCTGATGTATGATGGACAGTGCTTAATCAAGCTACAAAAACTGCAGTTTTTTTGCCGTCTCCCCATTTTCGCCATTGTATCTCTATTGGTGAAAATGAAATAAGTAAAATAAAATTAAATAAAAAAGTCGAGCCGGACAGTGCAGCCGTGTTGAGCAGCGGTGATGTCGTGGTGCACGGACATTAAGAAACATGTGATTTCATTTTTTTGTTAAAGCTTGTGTAGCTAATTTGTCTGTTTTTAGGAATATGGTTTGAATCAAGGTTGGGGAATGTGAAGGTGCTGACACTCCTTGTAAAACTGTTTGCGCCGCGTGGCGCGGGTGTGTCGCCCAAAAGCCACATTTCAGGCTACAACCACCAGGCGATAGATGTCATTGTGTTCGCGTTGAGGACCACTATCATCATCATGGTTGTTACAGTGGTAGTGCCGGCTGTGACCCCTGGCGGAAGAGAGTTGAGTGAGTCTCTTCTGCGCGTGGCGGTTGCCGCGAACGGTTGTCTCTAGCGTGGGTCCTCGGCGCGTGGCACCGCGGGCCTGCGCGTAGGGGGCCTTCATGGTAAGTCAAGCATTAGCGATGCCACCTTGGGTGTGTTATTGTGCGTTTGTCATGTTTTGGAGTTTATCGTATTATTGTGTATGGATGTCCTAGAGTGTAATTATGATTGATGTATTGATTCAGCGGACGATGTCATCGTTCAGAAGTATTAAATAAATGGTTTCTACTGACTGCCTCACTGTGTCTGTTCACTCCAAGAGCATGGCGTGGTGTTCATTCGTCAATGTCGAGACCCCACAATGTGCAATCTTAAATACCTCAAAAGACAAGAAATAACAGTCTGTGTAGCATTTTCAAATAATGCCAGTTTGTGACGTCCTGCTCTTACACTGTATGTTCATCAATGTAACAGGTAGCCCACTCTACAGAAAAATGAGGTCTATGGACTGTGCAAGTGTCCAATAAAATGGCACGCATGAACCAGGGTAGATACAACTTGCAGAATTGCACCTGTTATTGAACTCTTCTGCTAAGCATATCCACCAAGCACTCACCTGGAGGAAACGGGATATGATGCACCGGTACTCCCGTGGCATGGCAACGATGCTTCCAAATATCCAAAAGAGGTGCGTCTCACCGTTCGCTAGTAATATAGTGCGCAAGACTCTGTAGAATTCAAAAAAGGGTATACCCGTGTCTGTTGCATCTGCCGACAAAGAAAAAGCACTAATATACTTTCAGTCAGTGACAGCAACACAATATGCGAGGCTTAACTAAACGATATTATCTTTCAAAAAGTGCCGCACTAGATGAAATTTGCGAGCCAGCTGAAAAAATTGCTATCATGATAATATTAACGAAGCAGTAGTGAACATTTTGTAGGGTGGAGGCTCTTCGGACACTGGAGCATGAAGCACCATGAAAGATACACGTGTTTCAAAGCTGTTTATGTGATTGGAATGTCCAATTTCGTTTCACGTTCCCTTGTGCCCTCTGACGCGTGTGCTGCTCCTCTATTCTACAAAATACTACACCAAAAGCCCAACATGCAACTTTGATGAGTGTAAGATACAAAGTGTCCTTGCTAATTAAAACGTGTTTACTACTGTACTTGCACCCATAGGCATGAAAAGGGTTCCCCTTCAGGGGGGGCCGAGGTTTGTCTCCCCCTCCCTGGTATGTAAATGGATGACGCTGGCTTTGCGCAACCCCCTACTCCCCCACTTCCTCTCCACATGCTTATATAGGCGTTCAAGCACAGCTTGAACGCTTATGCTCATGCGTCCACAAATTATGCCCCTGCAGCCATTTGCCATGGTACCTTAGCCGCTAGGACGATGTGCTGCTTTGCACAATGATACTGATTATGAGCTCTTCATCATGTTTAGTGCTCTGGCAGTACCGGGCGTGTCCACGATGTTTTGTTGGGCACCGATGTAGAATCGCCTGCTTGTGTCTCCATAAGTAATAGACCCCGGAGATGCAGAGCCACTCCCATTGTTGAGCTTTCGGACCCAAAAAATACACTTTTTCTTTTGTTATCCCGCACAAAAACGTTAATCAATGTCACTGTACTACCAAAAGTCAACGGGAACACAATATCGGAGCTTTGCCCACATCGAAACACATGTGGACGGCAGCTACATGAGGCGTATCGCCTTGCAATGCCGAACAGCCGCGCAGTAGTAGCGGCGTGTTCTTCCGATCTAAGGTAGGTGTTCCAAGAACAGTATTCATTGCAGAGAAACTGCATTTATTAAACATCTCAGATGGCCTTGTGCAGCAATACATTTCTTTTTTATTTCTCAAACGAATTATCATAACAAGTTTCTAGTATCAAATTCGTGTTCTTTCTGCGTGACCTGCATTCCTCGACTCATTTCTTTCTACAGGTATTTCAACACGCTCCACAATAATGTGCGTCATAGTGGTTATAGACATGGTTATGAATCTTCTTAATTTTCATAAAAGCCCCTTAATTATGAAAAGCTGACATGAAGCACACTGCTTTCTACACTATAGATGACATATGAGACATAACAAAACAGTAATAAAAATGGTTCGTGAAAGGACTACTGCCAAGGAATGCGATCTATCTCGTGACAGTGAAAGTATCGCAATAGCATATGAAACACCACGCTCATTTCCAGAAGAAATGGAGATACAAATAAATTAGGCCCAACAATTTAGAAATTACCACCCCCTACCCCTAAATGGCAGCCCCTAGAGGGCGACCTAATATGGCCACCTAATATCACAGAGTTGGTCTTTCGGGTCCTAGCTAAGCGACACGGCCTTCCACTATTTTGTAGCGTCATCATCATTGCCATTCATCATCATCGTCATTTTTCTAGCCACCGCGTGCAGCTGATGCGACAGCTCAAGGCATGCTGTGGAGAACGAGCTTCTGACCTGGCGGTTTGGACGTGGCAGCCGCCGCCGCTCCGCTTCAGCAAATCAACCTGGATAATAAAGTGGCGAGAGAATGACATGACCACGTTGGCCACCGTCCGGTCTTCCTCACTCGCTATATTGGTGACCACGGACACACGAACAAGCGACCGGCGCTGCACTACTGCCATCGAGCTACGCGGTCATGCTCCAGTCAGCACAAGCCTGGCAGCCTCAATTCGACGCCACTGCCCCCGTTTCGGACCTCTCGCCAAGAGTCGTGGTTCGAGGAATTTGCGGCGGCCTTGTATCACAACGGCATCTGGATCCAAGAGCTCATGTACGAGGTATTGGAATACCATCTTCCACATGACATCAAAGACCACCTCACGTACTTCTCCTGGAGCCCTCGCCCGTACGATCACTTGCGAGATGCCGTGCTCAAGATTTACGGCCTTAAACAAGCTCCTCCTCCCAAAAATGATACAACTGCACCTGGCTCATCACCTTCCAGGACGCCTCTCGCCCCACAGCCAGTCATGAACATTCTCCTGTCGGCAACTGGCCAGCCACATAGATTCGACATCGGCCGCTGCCCCGTGCACCGCTGCATTCGCTGCAGAAACTTGGTCGGCTGAACTGTCTGTCCCGGGCCATTCGACGACCTCAGCTGGGCCAGCCGACCTTCCTGCAGACTCCCCGCCTGTCCCAGCACCTGTGGAGGCCCGCGACCCCACTCACACTATGGACTCAGAGCCCGCTGTGACACTGCACACAATCAGCTTCCCCTGCACACCGGTGCCTGCTGCTCAAAACCTCGTGGACTGCCAGCACCTACTAACATCATCCTCGATGTATCCTACAGAAGTTCAAGCCCCTGAGCATGCACGGCTGAACGTGCATGATGCTGTGAAGATGTCAGGAAATCCCGAAGGCCGGGCCTGGTTCATCACAGGAGGAGCACACTGTGCATGCCCCAACAGATTCGCAGTTAAACCATCCGCCTACCACTACGTACGCGTGCTTGAGCATTTCAACACCGTCGACGGCCTAGACAACTGTGACGCCACATACCCGCCGCTCGATGTCACATCACCAAACATCGGTTCTAGCTCGAACAACGCGACGACTCATCGGCATACGCCTACGCGTTACACGTCGCCAAAGGTCGGAAAAAGAAATCTATCAGTGCCCTCTGAGCCGGCACTTATCACTGTAAACCATGTCGCACTTTATCCGTCCATAGCGCACCGCTTCCAACTTATCTGCGCCCTACTCAGCCGACCAGGCGGCCGCAGCAGCTGGTAATGTGCCACCGCAAGCGACAGTACCAGCACGGTAAACACACTACCAGGGTTGACCGCACTCCCTGTCGACGTTCTCACCAGCTCCAACAAGGAAGTAACACTAGACCCTCTGGACTGGTCGTACAACGCTCATGCTACAGTCCATCTTTTAAGCATCAGTGTTCGAGTGCGCGCGACAATCGACCGCACCGAAACCGCCCGTGTGTTCTCGGCCCTTGACCATTTTCCACCTCGTCGTTGGTACTTGCTATCGACAAAAGTGTCCCTTCATCACGACCTTCGCCCACTTCTTCCAACAGCATGCCTGCATAGCCACCCTCGTCCACTGCGCCATTCCCAGTGTCGCCCGCCAGAGACCCACTGGTTGCCGATTGTCCCTTCCAGTTGACGACCTGGACTGCTCATGGACCCCATTTCGTTTTGCAAACCTCACTCGCTTGTATATACACTCTAATTATTTTCATTCCGGCTTCATTTCTGTGGGGGGGGAGTAATCTGTAGCGTCATCATCATCGCCATTCATCATCATCGTCATTTTTCTAGCCACCGCGCTGCGCCTCTCGTGCAGCTGATGCGACAGCTCGAGGCGTGCTGTGGAGAATGAGCTTCTGGCCTGGCGGTTTGGACGTGGCAGCCGCCGCCGCTCCGCTTCAGCAAATCAACCTGGAAAATAAAGTGACGAGAGAACGACACGACCACGTTGGCCGCCGTCCCGTGTTTCTCTCCCGCTACAGTTTTTTGTTATTGTGCAGCCAAGGTCAGACACTTGAGAGCAAGCCCACGGGATACATTTCAGATCCGCCTGCTCTTACAAAATGAAGTATGTTCAGCACAAAGCACTTTTACTGCAGCGTTGACATCAGTTTCCCTAACCTTTTACCTAATCGCACCTTTATACAGTTACCAAACTTCTGTTTTTGCAGAAGAGTACTCACCATACAAGCTTTTCCTATTTGCGTTGATGTTCGCCAGGTCACTACTTGGGGAGCCGCCAATAAGAAGGTCGATGGGACACAGTTCCTTGAGCTGCAGTAGGTACAAGCACGCCTTAGGACACTGTTTCGAAGCACTCTAACTATAAAAGTTTATCGTTCTAAATCGCCAAATTTTAGTGAAATTTAACTGGTGCCCAAGCTCGCTTTGAATCCGGAATCCCGAATGACCTATTTTTAATAAATATTATGGTAGAAGGGACTGATTACTGAAAACTGGGCGCTGTTCTAACAAACACCAGTTGCAATAATAAACAATTCATGCCGACCTTTTGCTCGTTAAGGTGCTCCACTGGCCCCAGGTAGGTAATTGAGGATCCATGACGAGTGAGGCCCACGTGAATGGCGTCGTTGTCTACTTCACTGGCATAGTACACCTCTACTGAGAGGCCCAGTTGGTTCAGTACGTACTTGCCTGCGGGACGAGCAAGGCCATGTAACTCACAGTACTTAGCATGTTGAAACAACACGGCCCTAGAAGAGATTAAGGCTTCTTGCTACATAGTCAACACCGTTCTTGTTTAGAATAGAGGAAAATATGCTGTTGGCACTGCATACATGCGGAATCTAAAACAATACTGTTCAATGCTTACTATAGGAAAGCTTGCGGGTTGGCCGCACTTCATTGCGGGTGATTTGTGGAAACCCTGCTCCACTCAGAAAAACCTAGCCACGTTCACAGTTTTTTGATGAGAAAGTCGCAGCTTTGCCACAAAGGCGTAGCCATGAAAGCTATAGCAACAATTCAAATCCTATTCTATCCTAATGAAATCCTATCCTTGTTCTTACGGGTGAGCACTTGAATACAGCTCTCACATCAAACGACGCTGACGTACCTGCGCGTCCCTTTCTATCTTTTTTTCGATCGCAATATTTGAGTGACTCTCGGTGCCACGTTACTTTGACCTACACTGTAAGGCAAAATTACTTGAAAAAGAAGTAACGGCACCCAATAGGCGCGGGCGATGAACAGATAAAACTATTGAGGAGCAACCACAGAAGGAGGCGTGCTACGTGCAAACCACTTAGTCTTTAAACACGCTCCAAAGGGATGGACCGCCCGGGAAATGCGGACAGTGCGTAAAGCGTTGCTAAAGTCACTAGCCATCCTATTCCTCTCCTGGATTAGTCTTACCCCGTATTTTGCTGACGACAGTTCGCATTGCGTCACGCTCGGAGTTCTCGACCACGGCCGCCTGAATTGATGATCTAGGAATTACGACGTGGAGCTTGTATGTACGCTTGGATGAGCGTGCGCTGCTGATTTTACTATTCGCCGCACCTATGAAGTCTGGAGTAGGTCTCGACACGCCACCACGCCACGCTGTCAATCGCTGGTTTCCAGATAGTCAAGACCAATGACAGCAACAGTTGCGAAGGCAAACATGGCGGCAGAAAGGTCAGCAGGCTTACCGGATGCATTGATTCATTCCGATTCAGGGCAAAAATTTGCGCTGGATTCTTTCACAAGTACGTGATCATTCTTTATTGTACTCTACTTGTCACGTGTGCGATATGGATCGCGCTTGCCGACAACGGGCTCTGTCGTGTCGTATATCGCACGCACAAAATGCACCAGGAAGGTCAGCTTGGGCGTCAGCAATTCGCCTGTGCTTTGCGACCACCTGGAAATCGGCCACCATTATCGTCGGCCTCCCGTACGCTCGCTCATCGAGTGCTTGCCTGTCATCGAAAACACATTGTGGGTTCCCTTAATGAGCTTGGTTGTAGTATTTTGCGCGCTGTAAGTGCACCAGCACGGGCTGGCGGGGCTTTGGCTAGCGTCAGAACTAAGAGAAAATTGGTCGCCATTACATTTGGCTTCCCCGTCAGTCGGTCGCAAGCAGCCCGGTGCCGTCCGTCGGCCGCGGCGGCAGACTCGCGTTTGCACGCTGCACTCGCACTCGCTCAAGTTTGTGGAAAAGGGCCGCATTACTATCTATTTCTTCGGCGCTAGCTCAAAACGAGCTCGGCGCTGTTCGTGGCAGCGGTCAAGCGTACGCTCGCTCTCCTGTTTGAAGTTCGCTGGTGGCAGACACTCCGCGTGCAGCACTGTGTTTGTTCTCACGTTCGCTTGCTCGAGCTGAACGACGTCGCTCGCTTAGAACTCGCCGTCTTGTTGGCGGAACGGTGGTTTGAGGAGTTGTGGCTACAGCTGCCGCTCTTAGGCTGTTGCGCTACGGAGATCGAAATGACTCTTTTATGATGTGTGACATCACGGTGATATTTTAAGCTTGTGATATCTCATGTCTGTTTTTATTTCACCTTGCACGTATTTCTCATATGCAGTCGTATTCATCATTTGTGATGTGTGACTAACTATTTTGCATACTTATTGTGTAGCCGTGGGCACCCACCGTGCTGAAGGCTGTGTTCGCTGGCGTCAGCGATGCCTGTCATCTGTCTCTCGTCAGAGCACCTTCAGAAGGACTGTACGAGTTGTGAAGTTTTTAAAGTTAATTGTGTGTCGTATTTTACACACATGTCTTTATATTACCTTCCAAGTATTTTTCATATGCGTACATTTTCATCTTTTGCCACGTGTGTATAACTGTTTTCACAATATTATTGTACGTGCAGCCATGGGAACACAAGAGGCAGAAGGCTCTGCGTGCGCTGGCACCTGCAATGCGTGTCATCTATCACTTCCGTCGGAGAAGCTCCACAACGAGTGAACAAGATGTGACAACGAGACAGGACTTGTACACTTCACCATGAATTCGCTTAAAAGAATGGAGAAACTTGATGTGTATGTAGAAAAATAAAAGATTTCGATGTCTCCCTTTTGTCTTTCGTTGTTGCCCTGACTGAAAGAAGTTACACATAGGTGGCCAACTACTTTCTCGCGTGTTCTTTTCTGCGCTATTTGTTGCTCACTGCGTAGTAAAACAGGCGAAAAAAGTATTAGGCCTGGCCAAAAATAAATAAAAAATAATGTTTTAGCTGGGGATAAAAGGTTCATTCGATTGGAGTATTTGAGTGGATCAATCGTTCGTCCAGCAAGGCGCAATTGTAGGGACTAACGGTTGCCAGGTAAGATGTAAATGTGGGGATTAACAGTTACCCTATAAGGGGCAAGTGTGAGGAATAAATATTAGTCCTTTGAGGTGAATTTCGGGACTAACAGTCGTTAAGGTGTAAATGTGGGGACTAAATGTTACTTCCTTGAGCTCGTCTGTGGGGACTAACTGTTAGACCCAATGCAGTTTGTCCTTAAAGGAATTAATGGTTGTGGCAGCCCCATTAGTTTCCAGAAAGACTAATTGCACACCCTTTTAACACCTTTTTGCCTTAGAGTGTGCGATAGGAAGAAATGTTGTATGGGGATGTTTGTCGGGGAAATATTGTCATCGTTGGAATAGCCGTATAGGCTGTGTTCCTTCCGCTCATAGCCGAGGTATAGTATCGGTGTCGAAGTCGTTGCGGTTCGTTCGCCTGAGAACAAGTGAGATGAACATGTCCGAGTACTTGCAGAAGGTATAAATTTTGTCCTGTGTAAGTTTGCAAGCCATAGAAGCTGCTGCTTCTTGTCAACAGGAAAACTATGCAACATGAAAAGTGCACAGCAACAACTCTTCGTCTGGAGATGCACATGACATGCTTCTTCCAACAGCACTTTTCTTTTTCTGCCACTCGTATTGCACCTGAAAACAGTGCAGTGGTTCCTTGATGACCAATTCTTGGCTGTCATAGCAATGAAGAAAAAAAATGCGCAGGAATTGGTTTAATACAAGGCGCATTGCTCGATAACGCTAAACAAACCAGCATCAAAACGCACATTCCAAGCCGTTGCCTACATTCCAGAAAGAAGGAATGTGTTGGTTGCCAGACTATACTTCCTCGCCTATTACAAAGGTCCACATATAAATACGTATACATTTACACTCTAAAAGCTGTGGAGGGTACCGCAGGCGTCAAAAGGCTGAGTTACTCTTTAGAGTGTTCTACTCGAGCAAAGCATGGGATGAAGTAAAATTTATTTTGAATCTGTATGAAATGAGAGAGTGAAACTTCTTTCCACTCTCAATATCTTCGAGAGAGCGGAATGCCCATATACTTTTCAGACATAAGAGAGTAAAACATGATTATACTCTTGATCTTGATTACATTCAGATGCCTCGGCATACTGTGAGTGATTACCACCACTTCATAACCACATGTATATGCAGTAAAACGTACTGCCTTCGTTTGTTGAGGCGTTAGAGACAAATAAAAGAAAAAATAGCATTTCTAGCACATGCCAGTGAATTTCATCGCACAAGAATGCACTTGAAACTGTTAATATCAGCGTTTTTAGCTTCAAATGTGTTTAGTCAAATAAGCGACTTCTATCTTATTCAGTCGGTCACAATCGATACGCAACGCAAGCGTCTATGACAATCTTTTCATATTAATATTCATGTGTTTCACTACGACCATTGCTCACGGGGATGCTGCCGTAAGCCTAACATACGATACGGCTACAGTTGTTGTGGCTTTAGCCGTAGTGAACAAGAATGACTGAAAATACCTCCAAGGGGGTTAAAAACACTAGATTCTTAATAGTAAACTCCAAAAGCGCGATGTTTCTTAAGCAGAAATAACTAACTACTTAGCGAGTCAGTGGAAACGCCGTTCATATAATCATTTTCGCTATCTTCTTACTTCTACTCTAAAAAAACGAGTCGGGTAGACGTTATGATCTCATAAACCACAAAACAAAACACATTAAACATGATTACTTATAGTCTAGCTGGTTTTGATAAGAGCGCCGACACTCAAATCTACGCATCTAAACAAGGAAATGCAGACATATAAACAACATAATTTATGACAATATGAAATAAACTCTTAATTTGGTCTCTCAGCGTGCTGTAGTGGTTAGCGTTTCGCGATGGCAAGCTGCAGTCTGAGGCTCACTTGCTCGAATTTTTTCACATTTTACTTTGTTCTTTTTTACAGTGTTCTTATTCAGCAACCCTGATAATCTGCGCACGAGGGAATTTATCAAAAACATTTAAAAAGCCTGATTTGGGAAATTTTTGTGATTTATTTTTTTCTGATGTGTACTGCAACGCTTTTCGGTAGGGTCATGCTACTCTTTTTCGGGCAGCGTTATGTTACTCTGTTGAGGGGAAGTGCTTTGATCGTTTCTGGTGGAATCTGCCTCAGGAAGAGGTGATTTATTCTGGAAAAGAGAGCGAAATATGGGATAAGAAAGTGATCTCTCAAAAAAAGTTCCCGGCACTCTCTTAGTTCTTGGAGTGTAGGCTGGATGACGTCGATGCCTGTGGCAAAATTCAGCCAGAGTGGTCATAGAATTGCTGCCCAATAAAAATAAGTCTGTCCGCTCACACACACCACTGAGCTACTCGAGTCGTGGTTTCGGCAAATGAAAGTACACAATATTTACATCACTGTTGGCAGAATTGTAGG